GACATGCTCAAAATCTTCCTGAAAGCATCTGATATCCCACCCATTTGTGCCAGACACCACCCAAACTGGAGAAGGAACATCGATGGAATCTCCACCTTCAGCATCTCTGACAGGCCGAGGTGGAGGCCAAGCACAAACAGTAGAAGAAGTGTTTGAGAATCTAAGCAGCCCACCCACCCGCTTTTTCAAATACTACCAGCCCTTGTTGTGGTGGGCCGTGTGGATCCAGAATTAGGCTGTTTAGTCACCTCAAGACTCTCAGTCATCAGATTGGACGAAAGTCATTTTTGGCTTTGAGGTACTGCCTGAGAAGAAGACATAGCCACAGAATATTCAGGTGTGGAAAATAAACGTTGCAGTTCATAACCATTTTGGTATAGATAGGGGATGAATGATAAATAGGTGTACTTATTAAGAATAACATGAAGGCAGTAGAAAAAAAAATCTCAAAGCTAATAGAAAGACAAAAAATAGAATTCATGTGGCTACAGATGAAAGATAATAAAGAATTGATCATATTAAAGGTGTAAGCCACAGACCAAATAATATAATAAGGGGGTGCGGAGGAAGATAATATGCAAATTAATTCAGGAATTGAAAAAAAAAGCATAGGAAGTATGGTTGGGGTGGAGGTGGGGATAGTGGTTGCCACTACCCTGATGTTAAGTGGGCAGAAATGATTGGTAAAGTGGATGAGAAATTAAAGTTCATACAATGTATTTGGGATTACCCTCTAATCTGATCTGTAAATTAGAAAGAAGATGCTTGGCTATTGAGTTTAATAATGGAAAGTGAACCAGAACAGATAAAGGAAGTAAAGGGAGATATAAGCAATAGAATCATAGATAGTAGGAACTGCAGATGCTGGAGAATCCGAGACAACAAGGTGCAGGGCTGGATGAACACAGCAGGCCAAGCAGAATCATAGATTTGATAGTCGCCACCTTATAATGTACTTTATGGTAATAACAGAAATAATATAATTATGACATGAATACTGAAAGAAAGCCCTTTTTTGAGGGGGTCAAAACAGAACTTGGGGAAATGAACGTAGCCATCAATGTTAGCAAACAACTATGTAGAACATTGATTGGAAACATTTTAAAATATATTCAACAGTGTGCAGGGAAAAATGTATTACGCCAATTCTGCGAATGAATAAACAATCATGGGAACAATTTGAGTGTTAGGTAAAGAGCACATATTAAGCTTACAGACAGAAGAGTTCATACAAGAGAGAATATGATGAGATTAGGCAAGAAATTAATAAGGCAAACAGTACTATGAAATTAAATTATCAATGACCATAAAATAAAATAGTGTAGTATTTTACAGGCAAATCCACAAAAATAGGACGGTGCTCAGGAGTAGGACCATTTAAAGGTAGACAGAATAATATCATGATGATATAGAAATGGCAGATGGCAGATTAAATAATATGTTTGCTTTTGTATTTATCCCAGAGATTGAGCAGGTAAGTATTGCATTGAATGATGAGAGGTGCAGTAAGTACATTTAAAATAATAACATTTGTATTGAATAAAGAAGGCAGTCTCAAAGAGGATAAAACCCTGGTTCAGATGATTTGCATCACATAGGGAAGAGATAATAGAAACATTACTACTCATATATTTAATAATCCATTTGAAAAAAAAAGTGCAATAAGACTGCCAGACACATGGTATGATTCCTAAAGAGTAAAAGAACATACCCAGGCAATTACAAAGCAATCAGTTTAATATCAACAGTAGAAAGAAAGATGGAATCCTGACAAAAAGAAAGAAAAGAACGTCTGCTAACAAAAATTATAATAAAGAATAATCAGCATAGATTTGAAAGTAAAAACTTGTTTGACTAGTATTATTGAATTTATAAGGAGACAACAGAGAGACAAATATAATGCAATTGATCCATTTAACTGGACTTGCAAACTGTCTTCAAAAAGGTACGAATGAATGGATCAGAGGAGGTTGAGCCTGGGGGAAAATGCAAGATTTGTGAAATTTTATGCATAAATATGTATAAACACATCTCTATAATCTTCTGGGAGTGGATCTCAAAACATGAACATGTACTCTGATTTGCATATTCAAGAGACTCAGCGGTTGTGTCAGGCAGGCATCCTATACAGACTGATGCCAACAGCGTGGGTTCAATTCCCTCACTGGCTGAGGTTACTGTGAAGGAATCTAATTCTCAATCTCTCCCCTCATCTGAGGCATGGTGACCCTCAGGTTAAACAAGATAGCCCGATGGTCTGATAAGAGTTTGACGACTTTTACTATATATTGACTTCCAACCCGGCACATGGTACATATCTGAGTGTGTGAGGTTCCACCTCAGAAACAATCCATCATTCATATTTCATCCAAAAAACAAGAATACAATCTATTCTTTTCCATGTCCTCTGCCGCAGTTAGCCTAGAAAGTTAATCTACCTTGTGTAAATCTTATCTGCACACGCCAATAGATGACACACTACATTTATTGCCAACCTGAAGACTGATTAAATCCAAATAAATAAATAAATCCAAATCCCACTTTGTAGTTAGAAAGGGTAGATCACAAATAAAGACATCAAATTCAAGGGAGTGATTTGGAGGCTGTAATCAAACTTTGGAATCCAAATAACAATTGTTATTGGATTTTGTGATATAAAAAATAAATCACTAATGGCTTTTGACATCTCCACTCTTTGATTAAATTACGGTCTGGTAATCATTTCCAGATGTTCATTATTCTAGACACAGGGGAAATGCAACTTGAAGCATTCAGATACAGATGAGAAACTTAGGAATTTGCTTGAAATATCAAAGTATGTGTCTCCACTACTTCGGGTATATGTCATTTAATTCAAAAGGACCATTCCACTATATTGGCTTTTGCACTCATAGTACGAGTTTAACATTGATGGAAGGCATTTACTTATTTTTTTTCAAAATTGTAAAAATACAATCGCGTGGAAATTTTTTTATGTACAGATTACACTTTGAAAACAATAGATGCAAATTGTATTCAAACGTGCATGGATTTTGCAAAGATTTCTCCCCCCAAATGTCCATTCAATCTCATTCACATTAAAATGTAACATTTGCCAAGGACCAATGCATTTACGATGTTAAATGGCATTCCTTCAAAAAATCTTCTATAATATTATTAAATATATTAAATAATTGTAATTTGGTGCACTTTAATTAATAGCCAAAAAATGAACTGATCACAAAATTTAGCATTTCTAATCACAGTTTACCATCCATTTTCAAACTAATTAGTCAATGACTTTACAGATTGTTTTAAAGTTTCAATCTATGACAACATCTGTCAAAAACTCAAGTGAAATCACATGGAACAAAATACATTTGGGGTAAAATAAAATTTGTGACACTTGTACAATGTAAACTACTGAATATTATTTCAGCTGACCATTTACTGTTGTTATCTAAGGAAGCAGAACTTCACTCAACTGACTCATGATTTTTTCTTTACTAAACCTCAATTCTTACTACTTAATATCTTGTTGGAACTAGTCATTAAAGAATAAAGGGAACTAACATGTGCGATACCCAGAGAGAAAATACGTATTCAATTTTAATAAATTGAGGTGCCTGCCTCTGACTTTACTTTTCAAGACATTAAAATTCCTTTTTCATGACAACATACATGTGTGTTGCCATGAAGGAAGATTCTTCCTACATAACATGAGCAGGAACCCTGAAGAAAAATGAGTAAAACTGGCAAATGACACACACTGATCTGACTTGTCTTGTGTATTTCATTTCCTGGTGTTACTGGTTTTTACCATTGGAAAGTAACATACTGAAGATAGTGGCCAACTGAAATGAAAACAGAAAATGGCAGAAATGCTCAGGATGTGAAATCCTTCCTCAGAAATGGAAGATATCACAGATTAATTTTGCCAGAGGCGCCAAAAAAAGAAAATGACCACAATTAAGGCCTGGTGGGGAGAACAGATGACCTGTAGAGAACCTGCTAAGTGGAGAAACCATGATGGCTAAAGGAGCTCTGTGCACAAATCACTTGCACTATTTTACCAAGGTTGGTAACTCAGCATTTCACTGGTTATTTTATTTAATCTATCCAATGTCTCTTGTCACTGTATTTCCTTCTTCAATCCAACCACCATACACATCCCCCCACCCCCACCGTTCCTTCTGCTCTACAAATGTAGTCCATTTGTTAAATTATCTAGTTCTGAAAATAAAATTACACTCATAAGAGGTCAGCCTGTATCCTCTTAATGGATGTTGTCTGACTCACTCAGTGTTTCCAGAATTTTTTTTTTCTGTCTACCTTTGCATGATAATTCTGGAATAGATGACCAATGCCTTTCGTATCTGTGCCATGTCACGTTTTGAATGATACTTTTGGATATAAGGATCTCTATATCCTTATAGCATTCCTTGTCCATTAACTTTTACAGCAAATAAATGGAAATACATTTGAGAATTATTCATCTCATCTATATTGATACAAGTGATGCTTTCCAACATTGTAATAACAACATTTTCACCACACAAGACAACTCCTTAGTAGACACTATCAGCAGGATATAAGAGTATCCAAATGTACAGTCTCCATTCAAAACAGCTTGTATTTAGAAAGCTTAAACTTAAATGATAATGAAGTGCAACGATAAACCATTCATTACAGGATGCATGTACAGGATCCTTAGCTTTACTCATAGATATTAAGTTAATTTTGCCTGTGAACCTTAGAGGATTTATTTGGCACAACTGCAAGTACAGCAATGACAGAGTCTATCATTACAAATCTAACAGGAAAGCCAAATCCAATTTGCTGTGTAATTACATTGAAAAATTCATTCAGGATTAGTTTGTATCTCAGCATTGCTTCTCTCCATTGATTTATCTTTAAATTTTCAGGATACGGCATGTAACTGGCTGTCTGTTTTACCTATGTGTGCTTGGAAATAATGATTGATCATTAACTGGAAAACTTAAAACACAATGATTGCTCACCTTTGTTCCAGTTGTGGGTACAAGTCCAACTGCTCCCATGTAAGTGCTGCCAATTGTTTTGATTTTCTCTATATCCTTATAGCATTCCTTGTCCATCAACTTTTACAGCAAATAAATGGAAATACATTTGAGAATTATTAATTAAGAGCTCTGTTCATATATGTTATAAATCTATACTTTTATCAAATAGAAGAGGTTAATATAGAATTAAATGTACCTCATCAAAGTCAGCTATTATTTCATTCAAGAGGCGCAAGCATTCAACTCCCATGTTATTACCATCTAGCTCAATATAAAAGTCATTAAAATTGGGAATTGAGGCAAACATCACACCCACTTGTGAATATGACTGGTAGTAGAGATCCTGCAATGAACAACACATGGAGGTTAAGTATACTATGAGATCAAATGTATTTTTGAAAAGGAGGGGATAACATATGCATCCCTTAGAGAATGTGCCAAGTATAAAATAGTTTGCTCTTGCTGACATCTGAGGGCATGCACAAAAGCAGAGATATCTCTCGTAAATACATTTAAACAAAGATTGAGAAATAGCTAAAAGTTTTTAAAAAAACTATCAAGTTGTATACTGTGAAAGAAAAATAAAGCTTCAAACTTACTAAGTTTTTTTTTAAAGTGGCTTAATATTAGTCATGCCAAAATAATTTAGCATGTGCAATAATTAGTCAATTTTTAATGTTGATTCATCCGGATCATTGGTATCTGCAAACATATCAGCAAAAATAAAATATGACTGTCACAGAGAGGAATTATGTCTGACAATCGGGAACTCTGCTGTGTGCAGTTCAAGGCCTTGTACTAATGTCTGTATTACTGTCAGCAGCTGACTGTATTATAACTGTGTTGTTTCATATTTGGTTAATTTCAAAGAGTATTGATGTAACAGGAAGAGGGATAACAGCATGGTGGTTACTCAGTTGCTCCAGTAGAGGTACTCACAGTTACAGTAATACTTAGATATCAACATGTAATATTAAACTAGTATTTCTTGACCGAGGATGAACTATATCTGAAACCATATTATTTCTTCACTGGCAATAATGGTCACTTCTCACCAAGTATTGATCATTACTTCTGTACTGTGAAAATGTTATATCCCCATTCAAAAGAAAAAAGGAAGAAATATAGACCCACTCATTACAGGCCAATCAGACTATGCTCAACTGTAGGGAAATTTTTAGAGGTAATTGAAACAGAATTTATTGTCACTTTAAAAATTAAATTTAACAGGTGATAGCCAGAATGTATTTGTTAAAGGTGAATACGTTACAACTTGGAGCAGAAGGACACCATATGGCGCCTCAAGCTTGCACAGCCATTCAATACAAGCACGACTGATCTTTGGCCTCAACCTCACTTTCTTGCATGCTCCCATATCACTCGATTTCCAAAAAGACCAAAAGAAAATTATCTTTCAAGCCTTGAATATACTCAGTGCTGGGATACTCATAATCCTCTGGGATAGAGAATTCTAAAGATTCACAACCCTTTGAGAGTATATCTTCCTTCTCATTTTATTCCTAAATCATTGGTCCTTTATCGTGAAACTGTCCCTTTATTTTACATTCTCCATCCAGAAGAAACACCCTCTTAATGTTTACCATATCAAGATCCTTCAAAATCTGGTATATTTCAATGAGATTGACAAAATTCTTCCAAAATTTGAGGATTATCAACCTGATTTAATCAGGTTCTGATACAAGAATAACCTTCTCATCCCAGGAACTAAACTTGAGAACCTTTGTTCTACCAACACCAGTGAGTCTTCCTTAAATATGGAGACCAAACGGGTACAGAGTATTCCAGGTTGCAGTTTCACCTAAGGTCTGTGCAATTGCAGCAATTTTGCTTTTCCACTCCAATTCTCTTAATAAAGGCTACCATGTCATTTGCCATCATAATTGCTTGTTGTATCTGCATGCTACCTTACCTTCCTTTCTTCATTACAAACAGGAACCATCTGAACAGTGGCATTTAAAAGTTTCATATCATTTTTAAAAATTCTGTTTTTCTGTTCGGCAACCAAAGTGGAAAAACTTCACACTCTCTCATCTTGAATTCTATCTGACATCTTATTACCCATTTGCTTACCCAATCTATAACTCTTTGAACCTGTTTTTGGCTGTATTGCACGGTTTGCATTCCCATCTAGCTTTGTATCATCAGCAAACATTACTTTGTCTCTTCATCTATGTCTTGGAATAACTTCAGGGCTTACTTGCTCTTGAAGAATTCAGGTCCATTTGTGACCATCAAATGTTAATACAATAAAAAAGGTTATACATTTTTAATTAAAATTTTACATTTTATGGCATTACAGACATGTAGGCATATGTCTACAAAATAATTATTATGTTATTTAATTTTTTGAAACATTAAACAAAGTGACAGCAGTAGAATGACAGACATGGCTACATATTCAAGAGTTGGCACAAAACTCATTCATGAGAGGGTTAACAACTGTTTCAAAGTTGATATTGAAACTGGGCCCTCTAGCTGGTACTCTATGGATTATACTGCTAAAAATAGCAAGTCATCAGAAAGCATGAAGATTCTATGTCAGAAATAGGCAAAGCTAATGACTAATCTCTGCATAGGTCTTAAATTAAGTTACAAATCCTTAGAATCAGTCTGCTTAGAAATGATTCATGTTTAGTAAAGTAATTTGCTACTTTGTTTCGATAAGCACTTTCCTTGAATCTAGTATATTCAGTGGGGTTTATATAATACAGAACAAAATAAACTGAATAGTTCCTGTTCACAGCTCAACATGCTATGACAAAAATACTTTCATATGACAAAAATACTTTCATTTGCATGTACACTTTTCCTGACTTTTAAAAATCAATTCAAAATAAGAAATCTTTAACAACAATGGCAACATCCTTAATCAAATACAGAATTACCACTGTTCAGTTAAACAAAACTCACAGTTAATATTGTGGATCTGTTATGTTCAGTGTGATGAAACCTTGCTGAAATTTCAAAGAACAATCATTTGTTGAAGTAGCAAAAAGATTTTAATAATCAGGTTTCTCTCACCATATTTCGTGGATTGGACAACAAAAAATGTTGGGCAACATGTGCTGGAAGTAAATTGAAGAGAATCCGTTTGTTGTCAAGTTTAACTCGTTCCATATCATCTCTCTCTTCTTCAGCCTGAAAGGGGAAATACGTGTGTTGGTGGCTCCACTAACTTATAATGAGACAAACATTACAAATTGTATCTGAGAAGTACATGAATAAATGTGATTATGTCATTGTTAAATGTACAAGATTCTTAGGGGGCCTGACACAATACAGGCAGAGAGTTTGTTATCCCCTTGTGGGAGAGTATGGGACCACAGGACATAATTCCAGAATAAGGGCTCAACCAGTTAAGATAACGTTGAGGCAGAATTAAGAAAATTCAAGGCTGAGATGGACAATTTTTTAAGCACTAAGGGAATTGAGAGTTATGGGGAAAAGGCAGGAAATTGGAGTTGAGGATTGTTGGATTAGCCATGATGAATGAGGCCTTGGGCATGCCTTTGATATTCATCCTCATATTAAAAAAACTAAGCCTTCCATGTCTGTATGTTTTAAAGAATACTAACCTCAAATTTAAATTTGGTAAAGAAGAATTCAAATTCATTCCAAAAGATGGTCTTTTAGCACTGGACAAGGCTATTGATGGTCATGTTGTAAAGTCACAATGTACTAGTACTGCACACGGATTCAAAGGAATAGCTTACCAATCACTTCAAAAGCACTCATTATTGAACTATCAAGGGAACTGACTGAATAAACCTTCACTAATATCAAATAGTTCAAGAAAAGCAATCAGGAACAAGTTCCAAATGCACAAGAAGGCACATAAATAGCGAACAAGTATTTGTTAAGCAATGGTGCTCATAGCCCAGAGCTAGGGGGACTCAGGTGGCTCAAAAATAAAACAATCATTTCAGGGCCTCCTGGATACACACAAAGGTCTGCACTCCATTATCTCAGTCATTGGCCCTCAGGACTGAAGGCATGGCAACAGAGAAAAAAGAAGCCTTGCACATACTGCACATGCACCTTCTTCACAAGGAAACAGGACAGTGGCAATAGGATGAAGGACCACACATAGGTCCCTCACAAGTCTCCTCTCAGGACATTCCAGAGGTAGTCAGACCCCCCATCTTTATGTTGCCTGCCCCTTCCTTCGACCCTTAGATGTTCAGGCCGAGGAGAGTACTATCAACATGTCACGTCTGCCCAGACACAAATGACCCCAGAGTCACTAGATCAAACCTCCAGCACCAATGGGCTTAATGCTGACTAGGTTCCCTTCACCCCAGCTGCATAACCTGGGACTACACTGAGATGCATGAACAGTGAAAGAGAAAAAAGACAGCCTGTTGAAGGCATATTGGTGTGACTGCATCCATTTTCTTTCCAGCTGAGTCAGCTTCCGAGGCTGTGCACAGCAATGACTGCCAGAACATGAAATCAATGTAACAGTTGGCATGCTGATCGCCAAGTGCGAAATCTTGAAGAGGCTGTGTACAGACAGCAGGAGCGTCGCTTGGGAGTCTGTTGCGGTCAATTGGCTGGTCGGCTGGTTTGTGATGCAAAGTGTATGGGCTCAATTCCTGCATCAGCTGATGTTACCATGAAGGACTCTCCTTTTCAACCTTTCCCTCCACTGAGGCTTGGTGACCCTCAGGTTAAATCCCCACCAGTCACCTCTCTCCAATGAGAGAGCAGCCCAGTGGATTGGTAAGACTATGGCGATTTTACCTTTACCTCCTCTTGCCCAGTTTACAGTTTTGTCGAACTGGGAAGTGATACAGTTCCCTCCCACTTAGGCTTTGGCTGGAATTTTTAAAATTAGACTTCACTTTTTTGCTAATGTCTGTTTACTTGTTTATAGGAGCAAGTTAGTTTGAGAAAATAAGTGATAAAAGTGAGATCCAAGGGGATAAGTGACTCTCGTGATTTTAACTGGCACCGTCCTTGAGTCAAGTGGAGGGCTATAGCATATCATCTCTAAAGCGCGGAATGCATTAACTATTGATTATTGAAAGCCTAAGCTCAGGACTAGTCTGCTGCTCCTCAATTCCATCAGTCGAGTAGCAAGACTTTGAATATATTACTGTCCCCAAGGGTCATTTGTTCTAGTCATACCTGACAAACTTGCCCTTTTCTAAAACATTCTATCACTGGGGTGGCTCAGTGGCTAATACTGCTACCTCACAACACCAGGGACCTGGGTTCGATTCCACCTTCAGGTGCCTGTCTGTGTGGAGTTTGCACAGTCTCACTGTGTGTGCATGGGTTTCCTCCCACAATTCAAAGATGTTCAAGTCAGGTGGATTGACCATGCTAAATTGCCCACATTATCCAGGGATATGCAGGCTAGGTGGATTAGCATGGGAAATGCAGGGTTACAAGAACAGGGTAGTGGGATGAGTCTAGGTGGGATGCTCTTCAGAGGGTTGGTGTGGACTCGATGGGTCAAATGGCCTGCTTTCACACTGTAGAGATTCTTCCAGTACGCCGGATGGCCCCAGGACCTCAGCAGAGAGGCAGTTGGAAATCCTGTTTCCTTTGTATTTTTGAGCTTATTTATGCAAATATACACGAATCTCCATTCCTTATACTGGCAGAAGCCATGAGCATTTAATGCACTAAATGGTGAATTTTTAACCTAAGACAATGTAGGTAGATACATAATCTGGAATCCACATTTTGGTAGTTTGTGATTGCACTGGAGAGGGGATTTACCAGGATATTGCCTGGGCTGGAGAGTTTTAGTTGTGAAGAGAGATTGAAGAGAGAGGGTGCATGGTCTAAGTCTATAAATTTATGAGGGACACAGATGACAGACAAGAAGGAACTTTTACCCTTGGTGGAGGGATCAATGACCAGGAGTCATAGATTTAAACTAAGGGGTAAGAGGTTTGGAGGGGATGTGGGTAATTTTTTTCCACCCAAAATCTGAAACTCACTGCCTGTAAGAGTGTTAGGGGCAAAAACCCTCATAACATTTAAGAAGTATTTAGATTGCACTACCAATGCCAAGGCAAACAAGGTTATGCACTGGAAAATGGGATGAGAATGGTTAGATGTTTGTTTTTGACTGGCACAGACTCGATTGGTGGAAAGGTGCTTTTCTGTTCCGTCGACCTTTATGACTATATAACTGTATACATAAAGATACAAAATCAACCTACAAAGCATTTACACAGTGAAAAGTTGGAAAATTGTTTACTTGCTTGAACCTCTCAGTTATGAAATGAGATGCTATGACCTAATTTCTGCAAAAGAAATCCAAATGAATTCTGTATGAAGGGATATGGTAATGTAAATGAAATAGGGAGGTGACAGCGTTCTAAAACATTCAATTCTTTGTGGTTCACTGATTTTTATTTCAAACCTAAACAGAGCTGTTGAAGTTTCAATGCTTTTATAAAAAATATCACAACGAATTAGGGATGACAATTTAAGTTATTTCAAGTTTTTGAAAGTGACCTAACTTAGCTTTTTGGGATTGTTTCATGACATGAATCACTTCAATTGAAAAGTACATTTGTCATCACGAAGGCAAAGCTGTCCTTTGGGTCTAGGCCCGAAACGTCAGCCTTCCTGCTCCTATGATGCTGCTTGGCCTGCTGTGTTCATCCAGTTCTACATCTTGTTATCTCTCTTTTCATTTATGTATTCTTTCTTCTTTGAGTGGTTTAATCTTCCAAGCATGAGTGTGGAAATTCACTGTTCTCAATTATTGAATAAAAATGTTTTAGCGTGGGGACGTATTCAGGAATCATTCAGGGGTCTGGGCATTTCACATCAGGGTCTGTCTAGTTAGGTCACTCAAGGGGGTGTGTCATGGTCAGTCTGTGAGGTCTGTCCAGGGAAACCAGGGGATAAAGGTTGGGGGAGCGTGGAAGGGGCCCGCTAACTTGAGAACCTATTTGCGGGGATTGGGGTCTGCAGGTTGGGAAGAAGGGTGGACGACAACTGGCTTCAACTATATTTGCTAGGGAGGACCGTGGTAAAGCAGGTCCGGAAACAGGGTCATGCAGCAGGGAGGAGGGTTTATCCATGGTCAGAAGCACCTTGGTTTTTGAGGTGGGATGTCAGTGTATGATCACAAATGGCATGGTCACCTCATATGTCAGGGAATAGGCTGGAAAGATGGATAGATGCACAGACAGGTTGCTGGGACCTGGGGAGGTGCTGGGCCTGCGGAATTCACAAGACGAGTTATCAAAAAGTGGACCTGAATGTTCAGGGCCTCACTGACACATGTAGGCAGAGGCTGGAAACCATTGGCTAAACAGCACTCACTGTCACCTTCCTTTGGGCTAGCGAAATTCAAAAGCATAGAACAAGAAAGAAAATGGCTGCAACCACACCAGGCAGGAAATTGTCTGTGAGAGTCGGGGCTGCAAGACCCACTAACACAAGGCCCTTTAGATGGCAACAAGATTACACACAAACCCATGCACTGGACAGGATATAGGCCTGTGGGGTCCCTAATCTCAGATGAATGTCAGGCATTGGCTTCCTGTGTACTGTGCATTTCCCTGCTCCAGACATTGCTGACCACTTCATTCACACCAGCACCTTTGGACATAGAGCTCAGGAAAGGATAGGAACGTTTGAGGATGATGAACAATTGTACAAGCAAAGCCTATTGCCCTTTTTACACCTGGTTCCTCTTGCTTCCACACACTCCAGCGAGCACTCAACATACATATCAATCCTTGTAAGGTTATGATATTAGGCATCACATTGGCACAGTAACATCTGCCACTAAACAGAGACTCAAACAAATAGATGTATTTCCAAATCATTAAGAGCTATGGAAACATGAGCATCAATATACAGAGAAATGTCACCCCATGTTATCAAAGTGTCCTTAAAAGGTTATCTGTTCTCTTTCCTTCCCAGTATCGTTCTGTATATCCCCAGGTTCTGCAGCTCTGGTGAAGGGAGAGTGCCCAGCATTGAGCCCTTTGGCCCAGGAGGTTTCGTCAGGTGACTGATGTGTTTGGACAGCTCTGATATACTGAAGATCTCCTGGACAACGGCAAATAGACCCTCCTTAGCCTGAACTTCCAAGTGATTTTTGGAGGGGGCATAACAGGCAGGATGGAGGTGGAAGCTCCGACAAACTCTGCAGTGTC